GTGGCCGGGAGCGGCCACTGCACTCCAGTCTGGGGACAGAGTGAGACTCCAACTCAAAACAAACAAACAAACAAACAAAAAAATTGTGTAGACATGGTCTAGGGCAGGCTCTTCTGAAGAAGGGACATTTAACCTGGATTTAAAGTATATACATATGTAAGCTAGGTAAGGTGGATGACAAGAAGAGTGTGAGGAGTATTGGCAGAAGGCCCAGTGCTGAGAGGGACATAGTTCCCTTAAGAAAAGGATCCAAGGACCAGTGTGCCTGGCCAACGGAAAAGGAACAGATCAGACAGCAGGGAAGTTCTGTGTGCTTGGGTTTATGTGGGGTCCTGTATGTATGGCAGAGCTACACAATAGACTCCTGGAGGAGTACACATGTTCACTTGTGGAGGACACAATTTGAAGGGGATCTAATTCCATACTAGTGTTTTGTATCTTTTTAAAAAACTTGATGACTCATGTGACTATTTTAATAGGTATCAGTTCTATGCATGCTCAATGCTATCTGTACCTACATATTGTTTTAAAAGTTCTCAAAATACAAAGGGAGAGAAGAAATAAGAATGGTGTTTCATGAAGAGACCTCAAAGGTGAGCAGGGTAGGTCCTGGATTTATAGGCCTTTGAAAGGGTTTTCATACCTTTGAGGTGGACAGAAAGGTCCTGGGTTCTTGTAAACATTGGGGGAAGGGTCTTCAGGCCTTGAAGACATCTCAGAGGTGGACAGGCCGGCCCTGGGCTCTGTAGGCCTTTGGAAGGGTTTCATACCACAGAGTATCTCAGAGGTGAGCGGGTAGATCCTGTGCTTTGCAGATCCCGGGAAGGGTCTTTATACTGTGGAGACACTTGAGAAGTGGATAGACACATCCTGGGCTCTGTGGCATGGGACAGGTCTTTTTACTGTGGGGACAACTCAGAGGTAAACAGGAAGGTCCTGAGATCTGTCGAACTGAGAAAGAGTCTTCATACCATGGAGACATCTCAGAGGTGGACAGGCAGGTCCTGGGCTCTGTAGGCCTTTAGAAGGGTTTCAATGTGGAACAGACACATTGAGCCAAGGGAACCTTGGAGTCTTGCCTGCCAGTTATTTTTATGCCTCTATTTTCATTGCTGAGTCATGAATTGCATTTGTCTGTCAGCACTTCAGTGAGCGTGACCACAGTCAGCCTGGCCTCATAGATGAAGGGCTGCACTTAGAAAACTCCTCATTCCTGCCAGGTTCCAGAGCCAGGCCACACCTGGATCAGGATGGCATCCGGCTGTGCCTATCTTGAAAACCATCATCTTTTCAGTGCTCAACATTTAATAATTTATAAGAAAACATTTATGTTATAGGGCACAGAATCTCATACATGGTCAGAAACTTTAAATCCTCCATGTTTATTTGTCTGTTTTTTCATCTTATTGATATTATTCTTAATTGAGGATCATTCATGAAAACAGTAGAAGATTCTCTTTTGTAAAATACATTTTATTTGATCTTTTGTTACCTGGATCTTGTATGAATGCATATTAGAGTATTGTTATTGATCCTTAGCCCTGTTGATTTGTGGCCTCTCTCAAAGTGCCAGAAGCAACCTGGGTTAAAGGTTTTTGAAATACCCTGTAGAGGTCCCTGAAGACAGTTTTCTCTCCTGACTTCAGTTCTTTTCATGTCCTGGGCATGATAGCTGCTTATTGTGTACTTTGGAGACACAGGTACTAATTAGTCATTGTAACCCATCAGCCCATCATAGGCCCTTCTCTTCTCTGCCATGTGGCATTTGATTTGCCAGTGTGTTTTGTCTTCTCAGGAGTATAAAGATTGCTTTAAGACCATCCATTCAAGTAGGTTAACTAAGATGCCTTTAATGTTAGTGTTTGGACATCTTCCAAATGCAAGGTTGTTGTTTTTTTTTTAATTTTAGATTTTTAAAAATATATTTACCTTTCTTTGAAAATTCTGTGAGTGTGAGCAATTTCCAAACTCTGTGTATTACCAGACTGCTATATCCTGAGAAGTGTTTGAAAGACTTAAGATTTGCAGGAGTAACCTGTGAACGCTTATCTTCTTTGTAATTGGTTACAAGTTGATAATTATTTAAAAGTTGTATCTCTATTGAATTCAAGTTGTCTACTAAGGTGAAGTGAACTGCGCTTTCCCACCCCCGATCTAGAAAGAATGCAGGGGAATCGGACTCAGGTTAGATAAAGACATACATCAGACGAGAGGTGACCAAAGAGAGGACAAAAAGAACCTCTTGTGGTGCTGTGATGCTTCCTTTCCCTCTTCAGAAAACATTGATTCGCCAAAATGCAGTATCAGGTCCTGGAGAACTGCGATGTTACATAGTGACAAGCATATGAAGGGAGTGTTTCTAACATTGAGCTGCCAAGAACCTGAAAGGAAAGCTGAGCTTTCTGAGACAGGGCGAGCACAAGTGTAACATACATGTCCTGTCCAGGAGCTGTGCCTGGTCATGTGGACCCCAGACCTGAGTGCTGGTCTCCTGTGTCACTCTGTTTCCCTGACCATGTGGAAACTATATCTGTGTTTTACTTCCTTAGTGCCAATTTAGTACTTTTCTCAGTTTTCCTTGCACCTGGTGTGTGATAGGTGTGTTACATGCAGTGTGCACCATATGTCTTCTCTGTGCTGTTTGCTCTCCCAGCATGTCCATCCCATGAAAGCTCTGCATCAGGGAACAGTATGCATATTGAGATTTGGTTGAGACTGGCACCAGGAAAGTGCCTGTATACTGTTGTTTGTCCCAGAGGCTGGTACACGTGGCCCCACCCACCTTCTTGTAAATGCTGGCAGAATCTGGGTGCATAATTGATCCAGCAAATACGTTGATTGGTTGATAGTACTCTCTATCTCATACACGTGAAATGTATATTTCCTTTTTTTCCAAGTAAATTTTAAGTAAGCATTTCACTATCTTTCTTGATCTAATAGTTTAAAGCAACTGATCATTTTGTTAAAGTGTTCTAGGTTTTATATTTTGTATATGTGTATAATTTTCTATGAATTCTCTTAGTGAATTTTGAACTTGTGAGGATTGGATGATGATTATCAAATTAAAGATACTCTCATATTAGTGGTTGAAAATTGCAGCTGGAAGTATTATAATAGGCTGATACTTAAAATATTAAGTAGTTTGATTTGCTGCAAATATTTTGCTACATTTATATTGTAGTCGTAAATTTGAGATATTTATATAGAGTATCTTTTTCTACTAAATTTGACCTTGTTAGCATTTTTTCTGATTTGGATTAGAAAATTTGCTTAAAATGCAAATATACTTTTAATTAGAAGTTGGTTAAGATTTTGTGTAAAATTTTCTGTATAGCATGTAACAAGGGACTCACATAATAACTAAGAAAGTAATTACTATTTCACTCAAGTGACACTGTGATTGAACAGCAGTTTGAAATAATAGAATTGGACCGTATAGTGACTTCCAGACTTCAACCATCCAGTGACCTCTTTGGAAGTAGGCCAGGTCTCAAGGGCCTTAGTCATTAAGTCACTAGAGCATGTGAATAAACATGATCATATTTATGCCCCCTCTTTTGGACCCAAAACATCTTAATATTTTTAACTAGCTGTAGTCAATTTGAAATGCATTAATATGGATCAGGTGAATGTAATCACTTGGCTTTAAAGAATAAGTGCTCATAAATCCTTTAAAACTTTTTCTTGGGATAAAATGAACTAAAATTTTGATTTAATTGTGACTGTTATATCACCATCATTTTTAGGAACTTGTTAAGAATTTCTTTGTTGTGGTAGTTTTGATCTACCAACATATTCCTGAACTCAGATCTTTCTGATATACAAGCTTTGCCAGTTGAAGTCAGTTGAGGGGTTGTGGGGAGCTTGATTTTACACTGAAAATATAAAGTTTTGAAATTTTCCCATTAAGTATCTCATTTACTGAGAAATCTTTTTAACATTTTATATTTGTCATATTCAGTCTTCCATTATCTGATGCAACACAAGATGAGTTTGTGTTGTATCTTGTCGCCCTCTCATGTCTCATTTTCAGTAAACAGTTAACTCCTTTCCCCTTTGCTTTTTGTCCTATATACAGAGTTTACGCAGTCCTTTAACCTATACTAGTCCATAAATACATACCCTTTGTCAAAGAGAATGTTCCAAATATTCCTGTACTGATCCTAGTAATTTTAGATATTAAAAAACATGACAGACTTGGGGAAAAGAAAGCATTTAATTGTATTACAGTCAATACTCATTTTTAGTAAGATTCAAATGAAAGAGTACATAGGAGAGCCTTTAGCAAACTTTAACAGATTGTACAAATATAGCATCAGGAACTTTGTTAAATGCCTATTATGTGTGTCTTGTCCTCTCTCACGTTTAATTTGGGGACTGGGTTTTGTAATACCAGCCTAGAACCCACATGACTCATACATCTGCTTTTAGGTCAAGGGCTATAACTTGATCAATCAGTTTAAGGCTTCTCTGATGCTTGTTTTGTTAGTGTTAAACAATGAATTTTACAAGTTGTCTTGTTATGTCATTGTGATTACTCAACACTAGATGTTTTTTATATTTTTATTAATTTTAATTAAAATGGCAAAATGAAAAAATAATTGATCAGATGATATTTAACATTTTGCTTCACGGGCATAAAGTTATTCTATTATCTAAGTTTTTTTGAAAGCTTTAAAAAGTATTAAGTCATTATATATTTAATACTTTTTGCATACCAAGGACAGGCAACTTAATGTTTATGTGGATAATGATAATAAGGTCAGCATTTGTGCAATTGGGGAGATTATATAAGTGAGGCTGACCATGCCATTCATGACCTCAGCAAACTGAAGCCTCACAACTTTCCAAGTACTCCCTGCAGATATCACTGCTAAGGAATACATTAATATCCTCCTGGACTTCTTAAAGAGGAAGTTATGCAACATTTGCAATATGTAACATGTCAGGGTTCATATAAAACCAAGGCATAGTTATTTTATATTTACTTCAAAGATCCTAACTTGTGACTCACTAAATTTTACATGTTAAATTAATGTGACATCAAAGAGTTTTTGTACATCTATTATAGTTAGTTCCATAATGACTGTTAATTTCAGTGAATGTTATGTATATATTTTCTTTCTCACATTAATTGTGTTTCTTGCCTTCAAAATTTTCAAAAATGTAAGGATGAAAATTAGGATTATAGGCTATGCATAGTTGTAGTTTCAGGAAGAGATTTCCATGGTTTTACATTTTGACATTCTAGAGATGAGGGCCTGTGAGCCTTTGTAATCTGTAGGTCATTCTAAGGACATTTTATTATTTTTCTCTTATGTTTAAAAATTATTCTATCTTCGACATGTAAAATTAAAAACCAAAGTTTCAGAAACATGAATAAAAGAGATTAGTAACTTCTAAGTGATAAATGAAATATTTTTAAAATGATCTTTTTGTTATTCAGTTGTATACATTCTGAAGTATTAGCAAAGGCTCTTAGTAGTTCTTAGTAGTACTTAGATCTTTACAGTGGAAGTATACTCTTATTAAAAGAAACCGATTCAAGTGGTACCATCTTGGTTTCAAGGTCAAAGGCCTAGTTTGATCTTTTAAGAATATAGCCTTTCTTGATTAAACTTCGATGATAGAATTACCATTTTACTAGACTGAGTGAAAGGCCAGTGCAATTCTTTCTGTTGTCAGTGTAAAGGATATTAGTACATTTTCTAATGTTACATGTTGATAAGTTTGTATTACTTAGTAAGTCATTTGACTTGTTCAAAGTCTGTTTTAAAAGTTAATATAAGGTTTTCTTAAATTAGCCAAATTAAATTTACTGTTGGTTGAATTTATATAAAATCAAATAACATAATAATACTTTCTATGAAAACAATTAATTAGAAAGTGTTATCTCTTTGCTTACCTTTAAAGTATTTCTATAAAGACCATTTTCGTGTTTTTGCAGGTACTGTAATAGGTGTTGTCATTTATACTGGAAAAGAGACTCGAAGTGTAATGAACACATCCAATCCCAAAAATAAGGTAGGCTAGATTGAGGAGCAACTGCTTTAATGAACTTGCTTTTTCCTTTCAGTAAGAAAGTTTATATAGTTCTGAGTAACTCATTTGTTTTAGCGTAATGTAGAACTTAAAAACAGACTTTCAAAAATGTTGATTTAGGATGTGAGTTTTCTGTATTTATATAACAGCATTCTCATACTGAAGAATTTCCAAAAGTATCTTCTCTTTGCTAATCAGTTTTATATGTGTCTTAAATTTTCATTGTTAGATATATAATTTGCCTATAATTTGACAGTTAATTGTGGCTGTCTAATTTCTTATCTTCAATCTATTTATTTTACAATTTATACTCTTTATTTTTATGTTGATGGTTCATTTTTAAAATAGAAATCTCTATTAATGTTTTTATAGCATTTAATTTGTTAATGTTACATTGTTATACCAGTTTCATTTATTTCCATTTCAGAAGAAGCATATTGAAAACCAAGTTTTAGTTTTAAAGACAAGACTGCTTGACTATATTCCTAAATTGATTATATTTCTAAAATTGTTACTTATGCAAACAATATGTGTGTAAGTTAAACCATAGCAAAAGCTAGCATGCATTCTCAATAATTACTACTAAGATGATGCATTTTATAAAATTGAAGTCACAATATGTGCTAATGTGCAAAGCTCTTCCTGACCGTTGGTTTTAATTATTTTTATTTGAAATATAATCCGTGTATATTTGAATAGAACAAAAAATCCTCACGTGGATTCTTGTCTCACTCTGTGGGTAGTTAGCAGAAAAGGTTGCCTTTCACTGGAAATTTTATTACAAAGCTGTAGAAATGAAATAATTCTTTGAAAAGATATTTTTAGGACAAGCTGTATTCCTTTTTTTTTTTTTTCCCCACTAAATACCATTTTTAAAATAGTTAACTTTGAAAATTAGGAAAGCATCACCAACCCTATGAAGCCCTGGGCCATTTGTGGCACAGTAGGTGGGGGCCTCTGCATGCTGCTCTGCTTGTTCCCACCATGCACTGGGGGACCCCGTGTGTCTCTTGTACTTGTTAGGACTCCAGATGTCTGTGTGTAACAGATATTAGCAACAATCAAAGAAAAATGTTGTGCAATTATTATTTTAATACAAATTCTGTTGTGATAATGGACAAAATTATCTCCTTAGATTTATATTGCAATTTTATTCTAATTTGAGTTTTAATTATAGTCAAGTCAGTAATAGTGTTAAAATTATTGGAAAACAAATTATTAAACTTATTATTGACAGACAAATTATGAAGCTTATTATTGACAGAGTATTGACACACATGAATATTTATGTGTGTTTTCTGAGAAGTATGGTGATTTTTTTCTTAAGTGAGCAAAAACTAGAATATTCTAATGCACACACAAGTTCTAAGAGTTTCTTTTTAAAATTCATTTATGTTTACATTTATGATATTTTAGATTGAATTTAAAAATCTTAAAAGTTATACTGCCTTTTAATGTGCCTCTCTTTTTTTAATCCACCTTATTCTTCAGTTCAGTTTATTTGCTGTCAATTTTTCTTTGATTCAGTTCCAAATTTTTTTCCCCCTCTAGACATCTTTTATTTTTGGCTTATTGTACTCTTTACTTAGGGTTTTGATTCCAAATTAAAGTGACCTCTTAAGTTTATGGCCATGGTGAACAGTTAGTTCTGGTACTGCAGTTTTACCCCTGACTTGGCATTCAGCTGTGCTGCTAGCTGACCATTTAACCTTGGTCATTTTTGTTTTCTGATTTGTGAAATAGGGATAGGACTTAGGTGGCATTGTTGAGAACAATTAGAGGAAAAGAATGTGCTACATGGTAGATGCTTAATAGATACTACCTGCAATTCTTAATATTTTTCATTAAAATGATTTCCAGTTCCATAGTTTTCGATCCAACCCTTGTTGCAAATCAAGAAATAGTTATTTTGTAAATGATCTATACAAGACACTAGGCTCTGTACTGTTGGCTACCATGTAGCGTAGGAATTCTTCCAGTTTTCTACTGTCTCTCATTTCTCTTCTCCCTCCTCCTCTTCTCTCCTTCTTCTCTCCCCCTTTTTTAAATAGCCTTTTAAATTTCCTTGATGTTGGCATTATATCTCATAAGAGAAAAGACATCTTTGGAGTTTTACTGAATTAGATTTATATCCTTGCTACTCATCTTATTATTTTCACAAATTGGTGTGAAAGTGTTCTCAGTGGGTACTTAATAAGTGTTTGCTCCTCCTCCTCCACATGAGATCATAATCACAGTGATAGCTGAGACTTAGAGAACACTGTCATAAGGTGGGCACTTGTCTAAATGACTAATGCACTGTCTTGACCCCACATGATAGCCCACACTTCTGATTGCAGGGTGGGTGGTTGTTGAACACAGAGTTGGGTGTGTCAAGGAAGCATACTGTAAGAGAGGCAGCTTCTCAGACAGTGCAACTGATGGCAGAGCTCCTGGGGGTGTCTTCAGATTTATAGGTAAACTTCTTGTAAATATAGAGGTAAATTAAGAGAGATACAAAATATATAAATTTGCATATGTAATTAAATCTTCTGTATTAAATGTTAGTTTTATAAGGATAAAATTCAGGAAAAGGTTACAAGCATGCTACATTGGGCAAGAAGTTAACAGATGTAATTTTTCCAGAGGAAGTATTGATATTGATATATGGAATGAAAAAAATTATGTGGTATTTGTCCCTAAATAGAGAAGGGAAGACAGAAGTGATTGTGTACAGTTTGCAAGACATTATTTTCTGAAGACTGCATTTCAGTGTTGTTCTATTGCTTAGGAAACAGCAAACTTTTAGACTTCAAAGAAGGCTTTTGCAAGCAAAACAGTAAACATTCAAAAGGAGAATCTAGCCATTTACCTAAGTTTCATTGGAGTTCTTCAGGTAAACAAAACTGTTCCTGACACTCAATTCTGACAACTTTCTAACACATAGAATACATATGGGGACATTGATCGATAACTGGTCAGTTGAAATTTAATTTTCAGAGTTCATGGTCAGCAGAGTGATTTGAGCTGGAAATGTTTTTGGTGAGTAGTGGCTGACAGGATAGACTACATCACGCTGTGGTAGTAAACTGCCCATTGCCACTTGTTTTCCTCATGATACAGGTCTGACGTGGCTGACCGCTCTTACTGGTCATGATCCCTCAGCAACCCATCTTGGAAACATATTTCTTTGACCACTGGGATAAGAAAAAGTGGACATGGCAAATTACATACTGACTGATTGTCAAGGCTTCTTCCAGCAAGCCATATAGGTCACATGTCATTGACCAAAGCAATGAAATGGCCTCAAGGAAGTCGAAGGAAGCAGGGAAGTGTGTCATGTCTCCCATACAGGAGAAATCTGGAAATGTTTACTGAGTAACCTCCCTGACTACCCACGATAGGGGACAAGACTTCTCGGGTTTTCCCCAGTGCAGAAGGAAGAGGAACTGTGCAGAGCCCCGAGAGAATGCTGTCTTCTGGGGCTAAGTGAGGGAGAGGGACAAGGGATAGGATGTGGCATGGGGAAAGCCTTCCAGAGATGGTGAGCAGGCAGCAGCGTTGAGCTGTGGAGGTCATCTGCGGGGAGCAAAGAAAGAAGCCAGTAATAGGTATCACTGTTAAAATATTGGTCAAATTCCAGCAGATGCTGCAGACTAACAGGGTGGAATTCCAGTGCAAGGGCAACTCTAGAGGACTTATAAGGAGTTTTGAGGGAAAGGGAGGCCAAGGGCTAGAGGAAGGGAGGACTGAGCATGTTTTTGTTTCAGGTAGGGAGCTGGACTGTGGGGAGGTAATGGTGAGAGAAAGTTGACCAATTATACTAGAAGGGAAACAAATTTTATTGGTTTTATTTTTTGCTGGTGAGAAAAATCAATATCACAAAACTTAACACTTTAGATGAATAGAGGGTCTTATATTATAAAAAAAATTAGTTCTATAGAAGAATAAGTTTAATGGGCATCCAGTTGTAACTTAAACATATGAAACTAAGATTACTTAAAATTATATAGTGTTGTACAGCTACCACAAACAATATAACATGACTTCTTTGATTCTCAGAAAATATTTGCAATCAGTATGTCTCTTCCTCCTCTCTCCTTTCCCTCTTCTCTTTTCTTGTCCTCTTCCCTCCTTTTTTCTTTCACATACTCTTCATTTTCATTTATTTCATACCTTTATTACACTGCATATAACAGGATTATGCAAGTTTGCAAAATTGCTTGGAGTTGCTAGGATTAAAAATGACACAGGAAAGACAATGTTGATATAAGAAGAAAGTTAATCATAACAACAGTTGAGGTAGTGAAATTGATGCAGAGCATGTTAATGCCCTGAGACAGTTCCTAAAAGGATCCAGAAAGATTATATATCCTAAAGGTTTAGGCCCATAAGTTGCTGAGTGCTATTAAGGATCTAGCTGTTGCTGGAATTCACGCATTTATGAAGGAGCCAGGATGTGGCTATTCTCAGGCTGATGTTCAGGATCCAGAAGCAGAAGCAGAAGCAGAGATGGAGGCTGGGTAGGTCAGAGGTGCAGGTTGCATATGGGTGTGTCACTAGAGAAGGCGAGGAGGGCAGGTGGCCACAGCAGTGACTGCAGAGCATGGTGGACAGCCGCTGAGCAGTCTCCTTATGACCAAGTAACTTCGGAAGCAAAGTAGTTAACTGGTGATGAAATTGTAGAGTACAGTGATGAAAATGAGTTGATGTTTGGAGACTGTTAGAGACCCTGGAGTATCCAAAGTTACAAACTTGCTGTTATATTTTGGAGAGGAGGCGTTTCTTCTTTTAAAAAAATGTTTTCTAGTAATGAGGGTAGATAGCATGTGAAGACAGATTGACCATTATTTCACATATTCTAGTTTCATCGGTAATTCATCGTCTGAGGAGGCATGTTAGCAGTCTTATACTCCTCCATTGTTTGCAGATCTCTTGTAGTATAAGTTCAGTTTAAAAATACTGTATTGATTTACTTATCACCTTTACTGCATGATACAACG